AGAAAGACACAGTCTTGTGTCTTTGCTGTTATATTTGTTTCTGGGTGGGCATGGTGCTTAGCAATCATGACTATACTAAAATCTTGGATTTCTTTATCACTCCTAATATCAAACTCAGGTAGTATGTCCTAACAGGGTTGGAGCTAAAATGATGCCATCAAGAGGCAAAAGAGAAGTATTGATATGCTTTAGGGAACCCCAAGGTATGGAAAACTATTATTATTATTATTATTATTATTTATTAAGCCCCCCCCCCCCGAGAAACAAACACAAACAGCCCAGTGAAGACTGGGTAGTAACCACAGAACATTGAATGTCTGTTGGAAAAGAAAAACTGAGCTTCTCCCCTGGGACAGTAAAAGGAAATGATTTAACTAAAGGAACTAGGAAGTTTCAAATCTCTGTGATGGTAAAGGTAAAGGGACTCCTGACCGTTAAGTCCAGTCGCAGACGATTCTGAAGTTGCACCCTCATCTCGCTCTATAGGCCAAGGGAGCCGGCGTTTTGTCTGCAGACAGCTTCCGGGTCATGTGGCCAGCATGACTAAGCCGCTTCTGGCAAACCAGAGCAGTGCATGGAAATGCCATTTACCTTCCCGCCAGAGCGGTACTTATTTATCTACTTGCACTTTGACGTGCTTTCGAACTGCTAGGTTGGTAGGAGCTGGGACCGAGCAACAGGAGCTCACCCCGTCACGGGGATTCGAACCGCCAACCTTCTGATCGGCAAGCCCTAGGCTCTGTGGTTTAGACCACAGTGCCACCTGCGTTACTATCTATTATTATTATTATTATTATTATTAATTTTATTATCACCTGAGCAGAGGTGACCACCTATGAGGGCATAGGAATCTTGCTCTTCTTAAAAAGTGACTGAATAAGTTATAAATTGAGGGATGAGATGGGCCATTGCGGTGTTGCTGCAATTTCACATTTGAAATTGTGGCAAGGGGATGCATGCAGGTTAAGGATTAGCTACAGTCTCTTTTGTGCTGGGTTTTGATCCAAATTCCACTCCCCGCTTTAAAAAAATAATAATTCTGGACTGTTACAGGTGTTTTCATATAGACAGTACTTGCCTCCTGAGAAGTACAGTCAGATTTGTTAAAAAATAAAAATCAATTCTGCAGCAAGCTGTATGTGTCTCTGCTCCTCTGGTGTTTAAGTTTTAAAATGACAGGCTGTTAAGTATTTGATGTCAAGTATTTCTCTTGAGAGTCCCATGGACTGCAAGAAGATCAAACCTATCCATTCTTAAGGAAATCAGCCCTGAGTGCTCACTGGAAGGACAGATCGTGAAGCTGAGGCTCCAATACTTTGGCCACCTCATGAGAAGAGAAGACTCCCTGGAAAAGACCCTGATGTTAGGAAAGATGGAGGGCACAAGGAGAAAGGGACAACAGAAGATGAGATAGTTGGATAGTGTTCTCGAAGCTACCAGCATGAGTTTGACCAAACTGCGGGAGGCAGTGGAAGACAGGAGTGCCTGGCGTGCTCTGGTCCATGGGGTCACGAAGGGTCGGACACAACTAAATGACTAAACAACAACACATTTGCTAAATGGGAAAAAAAGTCAGATGGAAAATGCTGTGTTACATCAGAGACGTTTTCCAAAGTAAAGGTGAAAAAAACTCTCATAGTCTCATTAGCAGTGTATTATTTTTTTTAAAAAAAAATCTCTTGCAGCCACAGCTGGTCTTAGTCATGTAGCTCCATTGTTGCTCAGCCACTTAGCATCACTTCTTTTCTCTTTGGCTCAGATTCCTGTGAAATGTCACAACAAGCATGCACAGAGTGCCTTTTCCTCGTGGCCAAAACTTGATCTCTCTCACAATGTCAGTGGTGCTGTTTAGGTAATTTAAGACCCTGGACTCCCAAACCCTGGACTCACTATGGAGAAGGCCTGCTTTTGGGGTGCTGCTGGATGATTTCAGCAAATTCTTATTTGATAATCTTGGTGACCTTTCTGGTCGTGTGTGTGTGTGTGTGTGTGTGTGTGTACTTTCAGTACCCGTCACACTTTTAATATCATTGCACCACCAATCAGAAGTTAGGTAGGCTAACATACTCAAATGAAGGCCAAGGAATACAAGAAGAACATCATTTCATTGTTTATACTCCACCCATCTGGCTGGGTTGCCCCAGCCATTCTGGGCGGCTTCCAACACATACTAAAGGTAAAGGGACCCCTGACCATTAGGTCCAGTCGTGACCGACTCTGGGGTTGCGGCGCTCATCTCGCTTTATTGGCCGAGGGAGCCAGCGTACAGCTTCTGGGTCATGTGGCCAGCATGACTAAGCCGCTTCTGGCGAACCAGAGCAGCGCACGGAAGCGCCGTTTACCTTCCCGCCAGAGCGGTTCCTATTTATTTACTTGCACTTTGACGTGCTTTCGAACTGCTAGGTTGGCAGGAGCAGGGACCGAGCAAGGGGAGCTCACCCCGTTGTGGGGATTCGAAACGCCGACCTTCTGATCGGCAAGTCCTAGGCTCTGTGGTTTAACCCACAGCGCCACCCAAACATAATAAACATAATAAAACATTAAACATGGACTGAGAATATGGACTAAGGAATCTATACACATATAGTTTTGTGTGTAGACTTTTCTACATTTGAAAATCCTGATCTTGAAGGACTCTGTAACCCATCAAGGAACCTATGCATGTTCAGAAATTCACTTTGTTTGTGCTCCTCCTTCAAACCATCACAGAACACATTAGTCAGATGGGGCCAGTGACATTATTGAAAGGAGTGTTCTTTCCCATTTAAGATTCCTAAGTATTAGAAGGTGTTGATTTTTTTGTACATTACTGTCAATGAATTTTTATAAACCACATAGTTTGTAATTTGGAGCTGCCCAAAAACACCTAAGAAGTGTCTTATTGAAGCTCAAGACTATTTGAGTGTGTGGTTTAGTATTGTCCATACTGATAGGCGATAGCTCTTTAGGGTGTTAAGAAGAAGGTCTGTCTTACCAGCTTCTCCCAGATTCTTTATGTTCTTCCTTGAATGAAATATATGTATCTTTTGGAGCAACAGGGCCCTGAAATTAGCTTGCAAAATGTCATTTTAGAAACAACAAACCAGTGAATAAAACAGCAGTTTAATATAAGCAACGAAAACGAAGAATAAGTTACATTTACCCCATCATTGCTCTATTTATTAAGCTCAAATCATGTATCTTTCCGCCACAAAAAAAAAGGAAAAAGTGAGGGAAGCTCTATTTTGCAAAAGGTATACAATGGAAATTTAGAGCTGACTCTTCCCCATCCTTTATTGTATATGAAGTGAACTGAATAACGCTTAGAGGACTTGGAATTTAACTTAATTAGAAGTATAATTGCTCATATATCTTCAGTTGGGAGGAAGGATGAAAGGAGTCTGTAAACCCTAGGAACTGATAAAGTTCTTTACTGAGTCATCTGCAGTTTGACAGTGCTCTTCTTCCCAGGCTGAGAGGAAAAATGGTGGCAACAGGTAATATTTACTGGGACAGAGTGACTTTTGCAGCTGTTGTTCAAGTTGCAAAACAATGAAGCATGGGACGGAGCAAATGAGAAATTTCTGGAACAGTGGGATATCAGCTTCACCCAAAGCAAGACGCATAACAGTAACAACCGGGGGAAAGAAATACATAACATCTTACAAGGACAGGAAGGAACACCATGGACAGAATAATTGCCACACACAGAAAGATATAGGATATAGTTTGAGTTCCTCACTTGTAGTTTTATAAATCATTTAATGTGTCAGCACAAATAGAAGTTATTAATATTGCAGTTGTTGCATGAGGGATGATTATTATGACTGGAATGTAATTGGAATTAATAAGATTTTGAATGCAGAAGTAAAGAAAACCATGAAACCATCACATCTAGCACATGGGGGGGACTTTATCTAAATTATATAATTTGGTATTTGAACGATTGGTATTAATAATTGTATTATAAATTGGTATTGTTATAATGAGGCTGTTATTGGACTGTAATTGAAAATTAATAAAAAATTATTAATTAAAAAGCACACAATTTAATTTCCAAAACATATACAGTGGTACCTTGGTTCTTGAACAGCTTTGTTGTTGAACAAATCGGCTCCTGAATGCTGCAAACCCGGAAGTAAGTGTTCTGGTTTGCGAATGTTTTTCGGAAGTGGAACGTCCAACACAGCTTCCGCTTGAGTGCAGGAAGCTCCTGCAGCCAATCGGAAGCTGCGGCTTGGTTTTTGAATGGTTTTGGGAGTCGAATGGACTCCCGGAATGAACTAAGTTTGAGAACCAAGGTACCACTGTACAGACTGGGATAAAAATCTCCAGTTACAATGTTTGTTGGATAAGTCTTTCTGTCAAGTAAATTGAATCTGTCAAGTAAATTGTCCATGTCAGGATCCACAAGAAATGCACATTCTTTATGGGTAATCTCACACGTTATGGTTCATCGAGGCAAGTCAAGACTTGCTTTGCTATTGGGGTTTGAGAACTTATCTGTGAGAAGTATATGCAAAATTATTCATCCATGATGCTGATGGAACTAAGGTGTGACACTCCCTCCTCTCATCTTTCTGAACAATCTGCTTATCTTCAAACAATGGAATATTGATTTTTCCAGTGATCTATCTCTGCAGTTACGGGGCCCATGAACAAGACAGGATAAAGCTTGTCAGGACAGGAGATACAGAAAGTTTGCAATTTACTTCTTGTGTGGACGTCATAAAAAGATAGGGTTCTGGAACTTTTCTCCTTATTTAGGAACATTCCTATATTTGTAAGATTTCCAGTCACTTCTAGATGGGTCCTTGGCTTTGTCTGAGCCCAGTAATCTTTCCCACCATCAAGTCCTATGACCCAGTAGCCATTGTCAGGACGCAGTTTGGCCTTCCCTTTTCTATGAACAGAATGAGAAACAACCCCTAAGTCCCAATTTCCTTTTCGTCCAACTTGCACTTCCCAGTAATATTTGTCTTCAGAAAAACTGTGTGCTGCCACAATGAAGGTATGGAGGGTTAACATATCACTGTAGTAAAAAAACTTAGAAATATTTCCTGTGTCTGAAACACTTTTCCTAACTCTGGACACTTCCGGTTGTGAGGGAGCTGACTCTGGGTCGAAGACCACGTCAACTGCAAAGTAAAGAAAACGGATTTCATTAATTGGACAACGATGCCATGTTCAACAAGCTGCCATTGTACCATGTGATAAATAGAAATTTCAATTCAACATCCCATTCCTAGGAATTTTCACTCAGAAGTAAATCCCATGGAGGTCAATGGGACATATTTCCTCACGATCTCCAAAGTGCCTTCCAGGAAGGTGTCTGCTGACTGGAAAAAGGATGTGCCAGAGCAGAGGAAGGCGCTTTTAAGATTGTAAAAGGATTGCGTCAAAGTTCCTCTGGGAGGCCGTTCCTGCAGGGCAGGAGTGGCGGAAGGGGCAAGGTGTGTATGGGAGCAAGCAAGTGGGTGGGAGGGCAAATGGCGCTGGCAAGATGGTGGCTGGGGGAAAAGAGGTGGCAGTACAGCGTACCGGTGCATATCACCCGAGGTACCACTGTAAGATTGCACCAACCTGCATCCAGCAATTCACTATTTCACTATTTAACATAGTTGGGTTTTTTTGGAATCTGGACATTTTCTTCAGTGCTACAGAGGAATCTCCTCCATTTTCATTGTTTTAAAAAACAAAACAAAAACAAATTCACTTGCAGCTTTTGATGGCAAGTAAAAGCATTTCCTGGATCTTTATTACATCCTTTTGGGATTCGAAGGATGATTACAAAGGAAGATTTGGGTTGTGCTTTACAGGATCATCTGAATAAGCGGCACAACAGAAGGTGTGCAGAACTTTCTGATTCCCTCCCACCACTAAAGCCCATTGTCTTTGCTTGTATACTGTGCTACTTATATTAAAAGTATGTCTATTGCAGAAACGTCATCTTCCAAAGAACATGGAGGGGGCCCTGACATGAAGCTTGCTCCGTGCCTGGCTCCACATTCAGCCTCAACAGTGGAAGGGGGGGCAGCCCCCTAAAAAAAAGATTGGGAGAACTCACAGAGCCTTAGCCCCCTGGAGTTGGAGCGTTTGGTTTATTGACTATTTTATTTAGCAGACAAGTGGTTCTTCCCATATTTTTTGTATTGTTTTGTTATGGTGTTCTGTTTTGTGGTATCTCCCAATGTACCTCTGCAAATACTCAATAAAGTTTTAAAAAAGAAAGAAAAAAGTATGTTGTTCTCACATCTGAAGGAACAGGCCTCTCAGAACTCTGTGAATAAAGGAATGAAGAAAAGTAATTCTTAGTAAGTAGTTCTTTTCACATAACAACCAGCAATGTTGGCACAAGCTATCCAGCGAGCTGGCCCACAGCACTTCTCCACACACCACGGAGGTAATGATGATGATGATTTTATATATATATATATATATATATATATATATATATATATATTGAATATGACGAAGGCAAGCTGTACAACTGAGGGGAATCTAGGTAGTGGCAGGTGGTGATCAAAGGAAGAACAAAATGCTCAGGCCAAGTGATCTTTAAAACTCTGTGCCAGTATCATCACTGTGGCTTAATCGAAGGTCCTTCACTAAATGAATGCCCACTACTGAGCACCTTAACCCTCCAAACTGATACCTACTTTTTTCATGTGTTTTGCCACAAACAAAGAGAAATGGAATATATGGCTATATTTTAATTGGATCAAATGGTTGTTTGAAAGCGGAAGCATTTTATAAGGCATACCTTTTTCTTCCTGCAATTTTCTGTTTTCTTGTAATACTGTAGTCCTAAAAAAGAGAAATGTATATAGTTTTCATTCTAAGCAATATCACCCGCCAATCCCCTAATAGAAGGAATGATTCAGGTCCCTTGAGGTGAGTGGCATATATATGACAGGGGGATTTCTACAAATACCATTGAGAGTGGTATAGGCATTATTTGTATATGTCTTTCGATGAACGGACTGGAAGACTATGGACTCAGCTAGATTGGTAAAGAAAAAGCGATATGTATGCATAGTATATGCAATATAACACTGTGACACCAGATGGCGATGAGGAGTCCTGTTTTTGCTAAGCTGATTTCTCTTTAAATAATTTACAATGCACTTAACTGAAACTTGAAGCTTCTTTGATGCATCTAGATCCAGCCTGTGAGTCAAGGGGGGTGGGGCAGTGTGTGTGTATGAATTCAACAGTGCTTAGTTTCCTTTTGCTGTTTGTTAATGTTGTTAATATTGTTTTGTGGATTATGAGTGCTGTCATGCTTTGTGAATTTTAGATTATGACTTCTTTGTGGTTCTGCTGTTTAATCTGTTTTGTTAGTTATTTTGTTGTTTTGTTAGTTGTTATAGAAAGTGGTTGTTTTACTGATGAGTTGTAAATTATTTTGTGTGATTTATGTTGTGATTGTGATTTTCTATTCCGTTATTGTTTGTAAGCCACTTTGTGACTCATGTGAGTGAAAAAGCAGCAAAGAAATACAGTGGTACCTCGGGTTACATACGCTTCAGGTTACATACAGTTCAGGTTACAGACTCCGCTAACCCAGAAATAGTGCTTCAGGTTAAGAACTTTGCTTCAGGATGAGAACAGAAATTGTGCAGCGGCGGCAGCAGGAGGCCCCATTAGCTAAAGTGGTGCTTCAGGTTAAGAACAGTTTCAGATTAAGAACGGACCTCTGGAACGAATTAAGTACTTAACCCGAGGTACCACTGTATAATGAATGAATGCATGGATTACATCATCTAACATTTAATTTAAAATCCAAAAGGTACGTGAAAAACAAAGGTAACTCTGTTAGTGCGTCAAAAGAACCATCCAGATCTACAATTGGGCAATACTTTCATTAGGACCAGCCAAAAAGAAATGGCAACAGCTGCAGGGTTTCTTTTGTTGCCTCAGCTGTGGACCAGAGCAGTGGACAAGGAAGTCCAAGTAGAGTAGTTATGTGGCAGTTAAGAGATCTGAATAAGAAGATGCAGGAGATACTGGGGTGTCGGTCCTTAATAAGTAAGACAGAACACCATGGAAACTGTGCATGGAGTGGGGGACTCAATCAGACTTAGCTTATTCTCTCACTACCAACAGAGAGTCACAGAGGAGTTGATCAAGGCTACATTCAGCAGGGGACAGTGTTTCCATTCAGCTATAATGATAGTTAGCAGCAAACAGTCCAGCAAGCACGGGAATGGTTATCGGTTCAATTGAGCTTGATTTACAAGCATATTCACAGAGCTGCTCTTGCACACATCCACCACACATCAAGGATGTTCAAATCTGAGTCTTTCTGATTATGTTTCCAACAAGATCCGTGCCAAAACCTCTTAAGCCTGCCTCTGTGTTTACGTTCTTCCTATAGGTGTGCCCAACATTGGGACTTTGGACTGAGAGTGTTAATTGGTTCTCCATCACTGTCACTAGAGAGTGGTTCCGGAGCCACCCGACCCCTTGGCAGACTGTCTTCGTCTGGGCTCTCTTCCAGCCCCCCTCCCATTGATAAGGAAGTGCCAGGTCTAGAAACGGGGTGTCATTTCGAAAAGACAAGCCTCCTGTCTCTTCCGCCGGCTGACTCTCCTCTCCTACCCCCGTCTCCTGCCTCATTTGCTGGGTCCTGGAGAGTCAGGTTTCTGACATCAGCCCCTAACCCACAAATCAGTTACAGGGAAGAGCTTGGAATGCTCCACCCCAGATAATGTCCTGTGTTTAATGTTTGGCTAAGACTGGCAGAAAATGCTTCAAAGCACAGGGATAATCTTGATGGTTTATTTTTTAATACAAAAATGACAAAGGCAAGCTACAAAACTGAGGAAACCTAGACAATGGCAGATGGTGATTGAGGGAAGAACAAAATGTTCAGGCCCAGCGATCTTTAAAACTCTGTGTTGGTGTCATCATTGTGGCTTAATCTTAAGGCCCCTAACTAACTGAATGCCGGCCAATGTGCACCTTAACCCTCCAATCTAATACCTTCTTCTTTCATGTGTTTTGTCACAAAGAAAGAGAAATGGAATATGTGGTTATATTTTAATTGGAACAAATGGTTGTTTAAAAACAGAAACATTTTATAAGACATACCTTTTTCTTTCTGCAGTTTTCTGTTTTCTTTTAATCGTACTAAAAAGAGGAATGCAAACAGTGAAGAGCATATGGCTTTCATTCTAAGCAATATGGCCTGCAATCCCCTAATGGAGAGAATGATCCAGGTCCCTTAGGGTTAGTGGCATGATTAAGAGGAGGGATTTGCCTGACAGAGAGGGTTGCTTCCCCTGCTGACAGCAATCATTAGCTGCAGACACAGGACAGGCAGGCATCTAGTCTGTCTTTGAATCTCCTATACTTCTACAAAATTAGAATTCCAGAATACTAGGCATGAAAACCCCCCCAAAGAGAGAAAAGCAGCCCCGAAAGGGCTATTTGTGTGTGCTCATAATGCTGCTATTTACTGGCTGGAGTAACACAGGGGAAAGTATGGGCCGGGGAAGACATTCACGTAACATTTCTCAATCTAGACACCAGTTTCTTAACGTAACTAAGGTATTCATAAACAATTAATAGAACATCAACGAGTATAAAACCAAACCGAACAATTCTTCATAAGATAAACTATCACAAGATCAACAATCATAAGATACAAAACAAAGATACAAAAAACCCCCCATGAATGGCGAAACGTCCCTCCCCAGCAACAAAACCCCCCTAAACAACACCCCAGTTCAATAGTCCAGAGTGTGAGAATCTCGTAACTAGATTTTATAAAAGGAGAAGATGGAGTTACCGTATTTTTCGCCCTATAGGACGCACCGGCCCATAGGACGCACCTAATTTTTTGGGGGGGGGGAAATAAAGGGGAAAAAAATTATTTCCCCCCCCAGGCGCGGGACTGGGACGGTGGAAGCCCGAGCTTCCCCCGACCCTAGCCCCCAGAACATGCAGCTCTCCGCAAGCCGTGGGAGCCCAGCGCCGGGCTCCCACAGCTGAAGCTAAGCCTGGGCACGTTGTGCCTCCCTGCTGTCCCCCAGCTTGCGGGGTTGGCGGCAGGGAGAAGTGGGCTTTTCCTGCCGCCATCCTCCAAAGGACGTTGGGAGACAGCGGGATGGCGGCGTTCTGCCACCCCGCTGTCCCCCAAGCTTGTGGGGCTGGCAGTGGGGCTCTCCTGAAGCCTGGAGAGCGAGAGCCTGCATTCGCCCCATAGGACGCACACACATTTCCCCTTCATTTTTGGAGGGGAAAAAGTGCGTCCTATAGGGCAAGAAATACGGTATATCCACGTTCAGATCTCTCCCCCCCCCCCAGATGTGCTTTTGGCATTACACATATAATTACAAATAAGAAGAGTGCACGCTCGCTTCTGTGTTCTCACTGAAGGATGATTACAAAGGAAGATTTGGGCTGTTCTTTACAGGACCATCTGAATACGCTGCATGATACAAAGTGTGCAGAAATTTCTGATTCCCTCACACCACTCAAGCTCATTGTCTTGTATTCTGCTAATTATAACTAAAAGTATGTTTATTGGCAATTTATTTTATTCAACAGGCAAGTGGTGTTCTCTCTCTCTCTCTCTGTCTCTCTCGTGTTCTGTTTTGTGGAATCTCCTATTGTACCGTTACAATAACTTAATAAAGGTTAAAAAGAAAGAAAGTCTACTTTGTTTTCATGCGTTTCAAAGTACAACTATGCAGAACACAACGTGTTTTGTCACAAACAAAAGGAAAATGAAATATAGGGTTATATTTTAATCGGATCAAATGGTTGTTTGAAAGTGGAAACATTTTATAAGGCATACCTTTTTTCTTCCTGCAATGTTCTGTTTTCTGGAAATAGTCCTAAAAAACAGAAATGCATATGGTTTTCATTCTAAGCAATATGGCCCACCAATCTCCTAACAGAGTGAATGATCCAGGTCTCTCAGGGTGAGTGGCCTGCCTACAGCAGGAATTTGACTGACTGAGGGACTTTCCACAAATACCATTAGGAGTGGCATAGTTGCTGGGTGTACACAAGCACCATCCTGCTTTACGTGTGGAGGGGGTTGATGGTGTGATTCTGGAGACATTGTTTCACACCACTTCCCTCTGATCGGTAGAGCTGATCAAGTCTCCATTCAGCACAGGGCAATGTTTCTATTCAGTCCCTAACCCACAAATCAGTTACAGGGAGGTGCTTGGACCACCTACCCGCACCCCAGATAATGTCCCGGGTTTAATGTGGGGCTCAGGCTGGCAGAAAATGCCTCTTGGTTTAGCAAAGGGGTAATCTTGATGGTTCATATTTCTCCTTTCAAATACAAAAATTGAATATGTGGCCGTGTTTTCAGTTGATCAAATGGTTGTTTACAAGCAGACAGATTTTACAAGACATACCTTCTTCTTCTTCCTTTATTTCCCCTTTTTCTTCTTTAACATTCTGCTCTTCATTCCGTGAGAGAGTTTCCTTTTCTCTGGCACCTTGAGATGTGGGGCAGGGGGTGGGGGGAATCATAAGGAAGTCCAATTTAGCTTGGCATCTAAGGGCACTACCAGAATAGAATACCCTATTGGATATTTTTATTTGCAACCAACTATGGAATATAGAGCTGTAGGACTCTACGGTAAAAGCCCCAAGGCAAGGATGTAGTAGTGGATAAATTCTGTGGATTGGGGTAGTCTACTTGTGCCTGTTCAGATATTGCTGGACTCCAGCCTCAGCCAGCATCATCAGGGATGATGGGAATTGTAATCCAGCTACAGGACTGTTAAAATCACAGATTAGTCATCTGTGCTATAAGCCATTTGAGGGGGATTGTACCCTCTGTTGGATTGTTTTTGTACATCTGCAGACCTTGTGCAGAGGCAGATCTAGGGGAACATGACTGGTTTGGCCACACTGGGCACAGAGCTTCTGGGACACTGCAGCAGGTGACACAACTATGAAGTCCTACATAAGGCCGGATTTGGGCGTCACATGGGAGACCACTGAAATGTGAAAAGCCAGGGTCCACCATTGCCTTGTAATTACTCTGAGCATGTAGATAAATCTCTCTTGGGTCTCTGCTATAGCTGCAATCTTATCTGCACTCATAGGAGCCAACTCCTAGGGGCTGAGGGCTCTTTGCACCCCCAAAATTGATGGGCATTGCCATGCAAATGGTGTGTATACACTGTGTCTTCTGATCGATTATGTGGAGAGGGGCTTACCTGGGGCCCCCAATATTTTATGCAAGTTGGCCCCACTGTCTGCACTCCACTCCTCACATGAATTCACTATTAGAGAGAGTGATTTATACGGTACCTTTGTGTATGACTGCCCAAACAGTGACTGCAAGAGCGAGAAGAGCGAGAAGAAGAAAGACAAACATCACCCAAAAGGCAGTGCAGGAACAATAATTCTCTGAGGTACTGTTGCCTGAAAGAAAGAAATGGCAGAGAATAAGGGATGCCTTTTTACATGCTATGATAGTCAGACAATCAGGCAGTATGATTAATCAACTGAAAACCTTTCCATTGATTAAAAATAGGTTCCTACTTGATCAAGCAGCAGATATTTAAAAAATGATAACCATTTAAAATGGAACCACTTGAGTTCTGAGATTTTTGGAGTCATTGCCATCTATCCAGGGAATCAGTATCAGTCGTGGCAGCAGGAACTCATGGAGGACAATGGAGAGGACTCTGGTAACACATTATTCAGAAGTTCAGCCAGGTCCTTTCTTTGCTTATTAGATTATGATGTCGCAAAGAGAGTAATGGGAAATATAGTTGTAAGGGGGCCTGGTTTCCTTTGTTACCCCCCCTCCCATGCTCACATGAACCAACAAAAAAAATACATTGTGCCACTTTATAAGCATAGATGCAAATTTGGAACTAACTGCTAAAATTTAATCAGAAATAGTATCCAATTCACCCTAGTGAATAGATGACCCAGGTTCCTGCTCAGTTTGCTGAGCAGTCACTAACTGTTAATGATCAAATTCAGGGCCACTGCTTTCCCTCTTATGGCACTTCATCTTTAAACCAGTCTTGGACTGGGAAGCTTTTCAAAGAGAGGGTGCCTTCAAATAGGACTGTCCTTTGTGAAGGAGAGGTCATCTCTGGTGATTACTGTAGCTTTAAATTTTACACCACAAATGCCAAAGTTAGGCCTGAGCTATTTCCTCTGTGCCCGTCCTACTTTGTGATTCATACCTTTTGAAGATTCAACAACCAGAACAGTTTGGGTCTGAGCACCCCAGTCTTTGGTCTTGACAATGCAGCTGTAGCTTCCTTCATCAGACTTTTGGGCCATTTTCAGCATCAAGGAAACATTTCCAGTGTCCAGTCCCTCTGTGGCAAACACTGCCCTGGACTCATAGCCTTGCCCAAATGTTTCCTGCCCAGTGAAAGCTGTGAACTGGTAGATGTTCTCCGTGTTGTCATCTACAGTTTTTTTCCACTGAACTTCCACGTTTTGTGGCAGAGCCCCAGAAGAGCTCTGGCATGGCAAGATGACATCTTGCCCCACATACCCAATGACAAATAAGGCAGAGTTCAGTTCAAAATGGTCTGGAAAAGAATCACAAATATTAAAGGCAACAACAGCACCACCAAGTCTGAGGTTGAAACGTTTCCCCAAATGGTACATCTCGGGGTTTGGATTCCCTACAGAAGGGGCAAATATTTTCCCTCCACATGACTTTGTGTACATGGAGGTGAGCGGTGAGATTGGGGAATATTCTGATTGAGAGGAACAGGCAGCCTTTACAAGGATCTCACCTGATGTATGGGCCAGACTTGTCTACAGACCTTTGGGGCACTTGCACTGAATACCATTTTTAAGGTTCATTTTGAGGTTATTTGATGATGGCTACACTATCTGATTATCGCTATCGGGGAAGGTATGAATTAAACGGCCTCGGCCCAGTATACCTGAAGGAGTGTCTTCACCCCCATAATTTAGCCTGGACACTGAGGTCCAGCTCTGAGGGCCTTCTGGCGGTTCCCTCACTGCGAGAAGTGAAGTTACAGGAAACCAGGCAGAGGGCCTTCTTGGTAGTGGCACCCGCCCTGTGGAACGCCCTCCTGTGAAATGTCAAGGAAATAAACAACTATCTGACTTTTAGAAGACATCTGAAGGCAGCCCTGTTTAGGGAAGTTTTTAATGTTTGATGTTTTATTGTGTTTTAAATATTCTGTTGGGTGCCACCCAGAGTGGCTGAGGAAACCCAGCCAGATGGGCAGGGAAATAATAATAATAATAATAATAATAATAATAATAATAAATATAATAATAATTTATTATTATTAGAGTTCCTGTATTTACAGTAGACTCTCTTCAGCTGGCTTTTGGCCTGTTTGCACTCTTTGTCAAACCAGCTGGAAGATCCCAACAAACTTTGTGAGCCACTACTCTTGATCTCAGTTCTCAAGTGGTCTTGCAATCTGTCAGTCAAGGTCTTAAATAAGTTCATAGCCTCAAAAGCAGAGGTAGCTGAGATGATAGAAGCAGGAAAAGCCTTTAAATCATCTGTATGAAGGAGGTGAGTGTGTGTCGCTCAATAGTGAAGAATGCATGTCTGAGATCCAAGCCCCAGCATTGGCAGGTAGAGCTGGGAGAGAACCCTGTCTGAAATTCTGGAGAGGTGCTGCCAGTCAGTGCAAACAGTATTGAGCTAGATGGATCAGTAGTCTGAATTCAGTACAGTGGTACCTTGGGTTACATACGCTTCAGGTTACATAACCTTCAGGTTACAGATTCCACTAACCCAGAAATATTACCTTGGGTTAAGAACTTTGTTTCAAGTTGAGAACAGAAATCGTGTAGTGGCGGCACAGCGGCAGCGGGAGGCCCCATTTAGCTAAAGTGGTCCTTCAGGTTAAGAACAGTTTCAGGTTAAGTACGGACCTCCAGAATGAATTTAGTACTTAACCCGAGGTACCACTGTATAAACTAGTTAGCTCACTGAACTCTTCTCCCGCCAAAGCCTCATCTGTTACTGAGACATCCTCCTGCTTAACAGTAACTGCCCCACCTTGTCTTTGAACATTTCATTGCTTACTCCTACTTGAAATGAGAGTAAGATGTAGGGAGGCAAAAAGAATTAATTAGCTTTTCTGCAGGGCCACTGCAGCTCCTAGTTTCCCAATGAGAATCAGTCGTATAATGAGAACACAATCAAGATGGAGGCAGACACCTTTCCAAATTCTGCTATGGCTTCTCCACTGTCAAGTAGGAAAGGAGAAATTGCAAAGATCCACCAATGAGAACCCCATGTGCACATAGATTTCTGTGTCACAACATGCCTAAAAGTCCTTCTTGGCTAAGTCCATGGTAACATAACATTATGTTGCTGCTGCTTCTCTACACTTTTTACCTGATGAAGGGATCAGTGCCAGGAATACAATGTAGAAAGAACCAAGAATGAGAGAGACAATTTCTTGAGGTTTATGGACCCCCATCCTTCTTTAGACAGCTCCGATCTGAAATATGAGCAACAGCACCAACAAACATAATTAGGAGCAAATGCTTTGTGTTTCGAAGCCCCTCTCTGTTACATCCCCATCTATCCCCACAAATCATAGCAATCCAGGTGTCAAAGTCAAGGAAAATAATATGTTTTAATTCTGTGAAGTTTTTGCTTTTGCTTGTTAAAAAAACTCCCTTTTGTCAATAGCTACTTCCATGTGGAAATTTAACGTAGCCGGGATTTAGAAGTCCTTCTTGCTAATATGCACAACAAGATACTGCTCTTTCCTTTGGCCTTTGACACTTCAGATATTTGTTTTTGGGGCTGATCTTGGGTCTTCCTGAAACCATGCAGTAAATAAAACTACAGGGATAAGGTTTGTAGTTGGTTGCCTCCCTCAATCTGATTGTTTTATTGTTATGTAGCATTGAGTTGGGATGGGAGAGAAATTTGGTTTGATTCATATTTCAATGTGAAATAAGAAAGATGAACACAAATATACACACAAACTGAAACGCAGCAATCCTTCAAAATTCACACTGACTCATGTGATGCAGTTCTCTAACCAAAATCTGTGTACAAAAATGCACACATTAGGGGAAAGTGAGCACCAAAAGGTCCGGTTCTTGTTGGCCGTTAGAAAACATATTGTAATTTAAATCTCTGCAAAGTACACATACCTCACACCAGCACTGAGAATTGCACATTCATCCATTGGGGAAAAAACTACTTCCTGGATGCTTTCTCAGACGTATTTTGCTGGAGAAAGAGAGAAACGAGAAAGAAAGAGAGAAATGATTAAAACGCTCTGCCCTTGACTACCAGAAACCAAACTGCGGTTGGTGTTTGTTTCGCTTCTGTTCTTGGCAGGGTGAGAGCAAGTTCAGTGCTGCTGAACCTTGGCCAGAAAAAAACAGATAAAATTACAGATTAATTTAGGGGAAGGGCTGAAGCTGAGTGGCAGAGCATTTCTCTTGCAGGCAGAGTTAGCACATGCTGATTTTATGCAAATATGTGCCCTCTTTTGCCTCTTTTCTGGAGATGTGTAAGTAGCTACCCTACCAAGAAACGTTTCTCCTGCTTCCAGTTGAGCAACCACCTCCCAGCAATAAAACGTAATGTTTGCATGAGCAGAATACTTGCCAATATGATAAATGGTGTATTGTAGAGGTAGGGTTTGCTTACTGCTAAGATCACTTAAAACTGTGGTTCACTATGAAAGTCCTCTTAGTAAAGACACAGGTGGGGGGACCTCCTGACAATGCTGTTTGCAAGTACAGTGTTTTAACTGGAGAAAGAAAATGACAACTGCTGCAGAGAGGGTCTGCAAAAGAAGCAAACAGACAAAAAACATGCAGTCTGGGCAGGGCAGAGCCCTAATTTGGAGGGTTCAAGACCTTCCCTACTCATGGGGGCATGTTTGCAGGCATCGCTGCTCGTATAAGAGAAAAGGATTGCAAGTAAGCCTTGCTCCAAGCACCTTGTGTATATGAACATGCCCAGTGTCCTGTCCCCCTGCTGCCCTGATGTTCACCTCAGCATGCATTCGCTCATTTTTTCTCTTCCCTTGAGGTTTTCGTTAACGTACTGTTTAACCTGTTAGGTTAATGATTTTTTTAATAGCTTGTGCAAACACGTAGTACTATCCAGACTCATCTGTGCCTGTAATGTGGTCACTATGTCTGCAGAGAAGGGTATCTGCTCTTGCACTCTGCTTCAGCTTGTGGGCTTCAAACATGTATCTTGCGGTTGGACACAGTGAGAACAGAAAGCTAGGCTAGAAAGGCCTTTGGTTTGATCCAGTAATGCTCTTCTTATGTATCTATACATGACCTAAAGGCTATATAACAGTTCTTGAAAAAGGAACGCTAACAGCTACATAAATTGAACAATTATGATGAAGTTGAAAGAAAACTCCATGTGGCATTGGATGAAAGAGTCTCAACTTCTTCAGTGGTGCTTTCTCAGGTGGACTCGGCAGAGTTTCCAAAGATGCTTTTAAAAACCTAGTTTTACAAGATAAATCCAAGCTGTGTTTTAATGCTTCATATTTTCTCCCTCACCTCAGCATACACACAGACTTGTAACAGGTGGTCCAAGCAGGCTGAAAGTCTGGGTGTTCTTAATAAGGCCACAGTTGCCTTCTCTTTCAGGGAGAAAAATATGGTTGCTGCCATCATTATGCCCCCTTTCCATTATGTGCTTGAGAGAACAACAGTGTTTTCACCTGGGATCTAAGAGTTAGAAGATCTGGTGCTAGTCAAGTTTCACCGAAAAGGGACATTCAACCAGGGATGCCAGCAGGATTTCCTGGGCTGAGTACCACTGCCACAGAAGCATGGGTGTAGCCAGGATGGGTGTAGCATGGGGTTTGGGGTGGCAGAACCTGAGTTAGTTAAGTATTTTTTATTGATTTACTTGATTTGGAGCTACTTCTATATACATACGGACCCTCCAAGAGTCCCTATTTTCCAGGGATGTCCCTGATTTAGAGAAGCCACCCCAGTTTCTGATTTGATCCTGGAATGTCCTGCTTTTCCTTAGGATGTCCCTATTTTCATTGGAGAAATGTTGGTGGGGATGGAGTTATATGACCCCTGAGCTGTCTGAAGGAAATCTTGTACAGGGAAGTTTTTCATGTTTAATGTTTTATTATGTTTTTATATACGTTGGAAGCAGCTGGGGCAATCCAGTAAGATGTGTGGGGTATAAATAGTAAAATTATAATTGTGGAACGGGACATCCCTATTTTCATTGGAGAAATGTTGGAGGGTATGTACGTATATAAACTTAGGAAAGCCTGCCTGTTGCAATGATAAAAGGGAGAGGGGAGAATGATTCATAAACCTTGAGCTCCTGGGTGGAAAAACAAGACATTCTGAGCACATGCAACTTCACAACTCTTAGCAGAACACACTCAATATTTTGCCCTCATTGAGTAACAGAAAAGTATCATTGTTTATAAGAATTTTAACTTTATGCCACTGTAATTTGTTCTATGATTTTATGGTTGTCTCTGCTGACAACCCCCCCCCCCCAACTTGTCACTCTGTATTAATACACCACAGTCCACTGATAACCAACTAACTAGTAGCCGCTGTGTGGAGGACATGCAAAGGTAAAGGGGTGTACTACAATATTAACATTTCCCTTTGATTTCTTTCAAGAGTGTTATTGTTGAGTGAAACATTCAAAGCCAGCTAATTCTATTTTACACTGCAAAGGGTGCACACTTGGGGAGTGAATGGAATAATGTGAACAGTAATTAAAAAGACATACACAGGGCAGACTCTCGTCTTCAATGCAGCCTCAGGCTACCAAGAACAGCAAAGGTGCTTCTGGCGCCTTCATTATACAGTGGTATCTCAGGTTAAGAGCTTAATTCGTTCGGGAGGTCCGTTCTTAACCTGAAACTGTTCTTAATCTGAGGTACCACTTTAGCTAATGGGGCCTCCCGCTGCTGCTGCGCTGCCGCCAAGCGATTTCTGTTCTCATCCTGAAGCAAAGTTCTTAACCCGATGTACTATTTCTGGGTTAGCAGAGTCTGTAACCTGAAGCGTCTGTAACCCGAGGTACCACTATACAGCTTCAAGCAAATGCTGAATACTCATTTCTTTATCCTGGTCTTTGACATTTGAGGTGTATATTTTTAGGAACCGCCTCATTTTTGTGGTTGTAAGTGGTTTTAAACTGTTTTTCATGTTGTTGTTTTTAAACTTGTAACCCATCCTGTGACCTTAGGGTGAAGGGCTGGTAAATAACAACAACAACAACAACAACAACAACAACAACAACAACAACAACAACTAACTAACTAACTAACTAACTAACTAAATAAATGTTAAATTTGTCATTGTGGTGTTACATTAGTCACAAGAAATACTGTTTGTAAAACACATCTCACCACATTTTCTTAATGCTAAGAACCTAAAAGAATGTAATAAGGTTAAAACATTTCTCTTTTCATTTTTTGGGGTGAAATTTTTTATTATGATTTCATTTTATAAAATATATAAAAAAGAGAAGACAATGGTAATGAGAAGAAAACTAACAAATAAGAAACATAACTATAAAATAGGCATGTAGAATGAGTAGTTGCGCATGAGTTAAAATAACAAAGTACAAGGAAAGAATATCCACGTTATCAGATCATCAAGTATAGTTCCAAATTTGACGACATTTGTCTTGAAAATAAGCACAACCGGACGCCTTCATCTGCCCCAACTGCAACAAAACACGTCTCTCCCGTGTCAGTCTCTACAGCCACAGCAGATACTGTAACTCTCCAGCGGTTTGACCTCAACCCTGAAGGTACACCCTTCGATTGTCTTTTGAGACAGATGGTTGTAAAATACCTTTAAATATAACATGAATTGAATTCCTCTCCCAACTGTTATGATGGTAGAAGGAAATTTAGGAAAAAGGAAATGAGCGTACTTTATCCCAGTTTAACTTAATGTCGTACAAGCTTCTTTGGTATAGAATTTAGAAAATCCTTTTATAAGAAACACACACACACACACATTTGAAAAAAATCTAGTGCAAGGACCCCAAAAACTCCATGCACAATTTTGATCACTGTTTCTCAGACAAGGACTTTCTAAATTATCTCAGGCAGGAGAATATTCCAAGGACTAAGGTATTTATATATGACTCTATTAATCTCCATCTTAAAAACACATAGCATAAATAACCACAAGCAAATGTGTTTGTTGTGATTCCATATATAGAGAGATGACTTAAAATAGCTACCTCAGATTAAGGTTGAGGCTAAGAATGCCATTGTTGCCCAGAAATGAAGCCAATGAATCCTGCCTCAAACTGTGTGTGAAATTGGATTAAGTGAAAATTCTTACCCACAAATTCACAGGCTCATTATCAGGCAGTGAATTCAGGTGGCGGGGGGATTAGGTGTCTCTCTGTGTGTGTGCAAAAATCTTTGCAAGATTTGAGGGCTCCCCACTGGAAGTAAAAGTATTTCAATAGTTTTTT